GACAGGCGGCTGGGAGCAGTTAAAGGCTGTGGCTCCCTCTCTGATCCCGTGGTTAGGCTTCACAGAGGGACTGTGAGGCTGGCTCGTTCAAATCCCCCTTCTCCCTGCTGGGAAGGTTGCGGGGGTTTGAAGAGGGCTCTCCTGGAGCCCGCCTACGCTCTGTGGTTCCGCGGCTCTAGCGATGGGGGGTTGCGTGCGCCCTTCCTCTTGCTCGTGAAGCTGTTCAACTTTAATGAACTATTATTTGGGTCAGCCATCCCAGGACCTTCCTGTGTAGTCTAGTGATTAGGCTATTGGTTTGGCTTGTGGCTGCTGAGAGTTCAAATCCTCTCTTTGCCTGTTGCAAGGACCTCTGAAAAGATCTCCCCAGCAGTTCTGGGATGGGCAGGTCCCTTGCTTTTTGCCCGCAGAAGGTTTTCCACATTAATTATCTATTGTTTGGGCAAAGCCAGAGCTATCCTTCCTTCCCTGGTCTGGTGGTTGGGCTGTGCGTGTGGGATGTGGGTGCCGTGTGTTCGATTCCCCTGCCCCCTCCCTGCACGGATGCTAAGAAGGGCTTGAGATGCGTCTCTACTGGGGGCCTGGTGGGTGCTTTTCGGGTTCCGCATTGGGGGCTGCCTCCCTCTTGCCTGTGGAAGCCGTTCCACTTTAATTAAATGGTTGTCGGGCCTCAGGCTACCCTAGTTCCCTCCGTAGGCTGATGGTTAGCCTCTGTGCCTGGGGTGGGGGGAGCTCTGGGTTCGAATCTCCCATGGTGTGTGTGTGCTGCCATTTTTCTCGGGTAGCGTTGGGGGTTGCCTCCCTTCTTGCCTTTCAAAGCTGTTCCGCTTTAATTAAATGGTACGTGGCCCTCCTCCTGACACAGCACCCGCTGTGGGCTGGCGGTTGTGCTCTGTGCCTGGGGTGCTGGAGATGGTGGGCTCGAATCGTGGGTGTGTGTGTGTGTGTCCCCTGACCTTTCTCTATTAGCGAGGGGGTTGCCCGCCTCATTCTTGCCTGTTGAAGCTGTTCCACTTTAGTTAAATATGCTTTGGGCCAGTCTCACAACTACCCTCACTCTCTAGTCCAGTGGTTAGGATACTCGCCTGGGTTGTGGGAGATCCTGGTTCAAATCCCCCAGCTGCCTGTTCAGCAGGGATTTGCACAGGGATTTCCTGCCTCCTAGGCGACCGTCCTTTGGGTGGGCCATCCTTGTCCGAAGCCCCTCTCTTTCTCAAGAGGCCGTTGTCTTCTTGGGACGGAGAGGGGATTCGGACAGGGATCGCTCGCCAGCGACTCTCCCCAGGAGGTGGCGGCCCCCAGTTCACACCCCTCAAAAGAGCAGGGGAGTGCCCTGGGGTCTGCCACAACCTGGGCGTGTATCCTGATCAGGGTGGACAAGAGTGAGAGGGGGGTTTTACTGTAGAGCAGCATTGCCTCTTTAATTAAAAAAGTAAGAGGCCCTGTGCCAGGCCTCTTGCTCAGCTAGGAGGGGCCTCCTCTCACCCACCAGAGGCCCTCCTGTCCCACCGAGCGGGGATGCGAACCAGGGTCATCCACAATCCAAGCGAATGCCCTAACCCCCGTACCATAGAGGGACTTGAGAGCTTACCTTGCTCCGGTTAATATATAGTTAAAGTGTAAGGCTGGAGCAGTAAGAGATTAAGTCACTCACCCCTTCTCAACCAACACAGCAGGGATTTGAACCAGGGTCACCCACAATCCAAGTGAGCACCCTAACCCTCGTACCATGGGACTTGAGTTGCTCCGGTTAATATATAGTTAAAGTGTAAGGCTGGAGCAGTAAGAGATTAAGTCACTCACCCCTTCTCAACCAACACAGCAGGGATTTGAACCAGGGTCACCCACAATCCAAGTGAGCACCCTAACCCCCGTACCATAGAGGGACTTGAGAGCTTATGTTGCTCTGGTTAATATATAGTTAAAGTGGAAAGCTTGAGCAGTAAGAGATTGAGACACCCACCCCTTCTCAACCAACACAGTGGGGATTTGAACCAGGGTCACCCACAATCCAAGTGAGCACCCTAACCCCCATACCATAGCGGGACTTGAAAGCTAACTGTGCCCCAGTTAATATATAATTAAAGTGGAAGGCTTGAGCAGTAAGAGATTGAGACACCCACCCCTTCTCAACCAACACAGCGGGGATTTGAACCAGGGTCACCCGTGATCCAAGTGAGCCTCCTAACCCCCATACCAAAGAGGGATTTGAAAGCCACCTTTGCCCCAGTTAATATACAGTTAAAGTGGAACACTTGCGAGGCAAGAGATCAAGGTCCCAACCCTTCTCAACAAACAGAAAGGGAGTCTGAACCAGCAGCTCACTGACTTGGGGGCAAGCAGCCAACCCACAGGACCACCAAGGGAGTCATAGACAGGCACTGCCCCAATTCTCATGGAATAGTTACTGAAAGGGGCCCACCTACAACAGAAAAGACAGAGGGAGAGCCCACATCCCACGACCTCCTAGCCAGGCACTTAGGTTGAAAGATAAGTAAGTGCTCAACTGACTTCTCTTCAAGAAGAAATGAGATAGGAACCACCAACCTCCCACATGCTGGGCATACCCTCCAACCACTGGACTACCCAAACCTACTTGCTCTGCATTTGCCCCAGTGAATATGTAACCGAACGTGACCCTCCTTCAACAGAAAAGATTGAGAGAGCCCCCACATGGGAAAACCTCCTAGCCCAGCACTTAGGCCATTCACCTGAGAGGCAGGAGATCAAGGTTCACATCCCTTCTCAGCAAGAAAAAAGGAGCTTTGAACCCCCATGCTGAGCACACACCCCAACCACTAGATTACACGGGCAGCTTGGTGGATTTGTGGCCCCATAAACATCGAATGTAAGTGGAACAGCTTCAGTAGAAAAAAAGTGAGGCAACCCACAGAACACCTATGAATCCAGCAGCTGGATATTCATGTTCAAAGTGCTGTTTAAGTCCCTCCTCAGCAAGCTGGGGGAGGAGTTGAACTAGCATCACCCACACACTGGGTAAGTACCCAAACCACTGGACTGCAGAGGGATTCACAGCACAAGGCTGGCCAGTTACTACTTCATGAAAGTGGCACAGCTCCGACAAGCTATAAAGAGCAAGCCTCCTCAGGCCGTCCTTTACTTCAGTATTGGAGCTCATGCTTGAGCGAATGCAGAGCTCTATTCAACTCCCTGCTCAGCAGGTGGGGAGATGGAAATTGACCCATAGTCTTCCCCTCCAAGGTACTGATCTCTGCTTGCCAACCATGGCCAGGAACCCCTCAGGTGACTTAGGTGCCTAACCCATTTAATGTGAGATGATTAGGGACCTGCCAAATGCCCCACAAAACCACCCAGGGGGAAGGCGGCAGAGGTCTCCTGTGTAACTTTTAACCTTGTGGTCAGGGGCCTCACCTGTGATGTGGAGGGAGAGGGGCCCTGCTTCAGGTTCAGCTTGGAAAAGAGACAGTTAAGTTAGGCTATGATAGAGGTCTGTACAATCACGAATGCAGTGGAGAAAGTGAATAAGGATATGTTATTTGCCCCTTCAAACCATGCAAGGACCAGGCATCACCCACTGAAATTTTTAGTAGGCAACAGGTTTAAAACAAACCAAACACAATACTTCTTCATGCAATGCACAGTCAGCCTGTGGAAGTGGTTGCCAGTTGATGTGGGGTAGGCCAAAACTATAAGTGGGTTCAAAAAATGAATTAGAAAGTTCGTGGTGAATGGGCCCATCAATGGCTATTAGCCAACATGGTCAGAGATGCAGCCCTGTGCTCTGGACATCCTTAAGCTCTTGCCAGATGCTGGGAGTGACCAACAGAGGACGGATCGTTTGATAATTGCCCTCTTGTATTCATTGCCTTGGAATCATCTGGCATTGGCCAAATGTTAGAAGACAGGATACTGGGCTAGATGCATCATCGGTCTGATCCAGTATGGCCGTTCTTATGTTCTTAATTTCCCCCTCTGACTGATGGGGAGAAGGGATTTGTAAAGGGCTCACCTACCGCCTGGGTGAGTGCCCTAATCATGGGGTCCTGGGCTACAGTGATGGGGGCACCCTCTGGGTTGCCTCTTGAAGCCATACCACTTTAATTAAATATTATTTCAGCCAGATAATGGGTGAGACTCCCTCTCTAGGCTAGCTTCTTAGGTGGGCTGTGAAGAGCTATTGGTTCAAATCCCCTTTCATTGAATCTTAGGGTTAGAAATGACTGCAAGGGTCAAACCTTTCTGCCTGCTAAAAGCGGGGGGTTGAAGAGTGATCTGTTGCAGCCATATGTGTGCCCCGATAATATAGATATAGCTTCATTAAGCCAGGATTTCAGTACTGTGTTGCTCTGGGGTAAATATTGGGACTAGCATGACTAGGTTCCCTCTGGTAGTTTCCCATTCAGACTGTTGACAGCACCATTGGCATAAGCACTCATGGGAAAATCCAAAGAACATGTTGGACGTTTCTTGGCACCAATGAGACATTTCCAAAAAATACAGAAAAAACAGTATGGTAAAAGCAGCAACAAACAACCCGCTAGCTTTCATAAATAAATTGAAATAACTGCAATAAAAATTCTCTGATTTCATAAGTAAATTGAAATAATTGCAACAAAAATTCTCTTTGATTTACATGAACCACACATCAATCCATATGGGCTGCATGCTTTCCGTTTACATGCTTTCAGCCCTCAGGAACAATTGAATGTTACATCAACATATATAGTATATTAAAACAAGAGTAAAGAAGAATAAGTAAAGCGCACACAATCACGATAGAAAAACACGGTTTCTGTATAAGGCCACTTAATAATACCCTAATTGATGCAATTAACTTAATATCAATGCCATTTCCTTCTCTCTGTCAACCAAACTTAAAGCCGCTATTAAGGCTGGATTTTATTTGAGCCCGCATTCGAGGAGGCTCTCTGGGAGAAGCATGTCTTTAGAGAAACAGCCAAGCTCAGCGTTGCTTGGAGGAACCCGATCCAACCCCATAAAAGAACGGAGGCACCTACCCCATATAACCAACAGGACTGAAGAGACACAGAAACCCGTTGCGAGAGCAGCCATGATTCCCAGCGGGGAATGGTTCTCAGGCTGGATAAAGGCTCTTTCCAGAAAGGATCCTCCGCCTGTGCCCAGTGCACCAGGAGATCAGGCTGCCGGCTGATCCGTGCTTGTCTGCCGTGATCGGTCAGCCGGGATCAAGCTAGGGACACGGGGAGGCGGGTGTGCGAGCAGGGAGCTCAGTGTCATTTTAAGATGCCGTTTTCGTGTGGCAAGAAATCCATGCAAGAAGCTGGCTTGAGCCCCAAAGGGGCTGGCGTCAGCACCACGGACAGGTCCCCGGGAGCCGGATCACTACCCCCCCAGCCCCCGCACCGAGCGAAATCCTGGACAGCTCCACTCAGGAGGCGCGGGGCAGGCTGCTCCCTGCCGGGGTCGGGTGCAACCCTTCCTCCCCCCGCTGCTCCCGGCCGGCGGTTGTCGCTAAGAGCAGCGCTCCCCGGAGCGGGAGGCTCCGCGCACGGCACCCGCGGCTGAGTGCCGGAGGGACCGGCTAGGCGCACGCCTTGCAACAGCCAGGGCCCGGGGGGGGGGAGAGGCAGCTGGGTCCCCCCGCTCCTCCCACATCAGATCCGCCCCAGAGCCCGGATCCGGCAGGGTCCGGCGCAGCGGCGGCCGGGCTGGGCGCGCCCCGAGGCTGGGACCAGCCGGCTGGAGGCGCGATGTTCCCCGCCCCTCCGGCGGGCCAGGCGCGGACCCCTCCCTTCCTCGCCCAGCCAGAGAGACAGAGCCCGGCCCCCGCCGGCAGGCAGCAGCCTCACCTGCCCTGCTCTCCCTCCCGCCCCAGCAGCCGCCTAGGCAAGCAGAGGCCTCCCGCCACACTCATGATAACGCCAAAGCTTCCGAGCTCGCAGCGAGGGCTCCTCCCCGCTCCGCCCCTTTCGCTCCGCCCCGGCAGAGCAGTCCGGCCTCCCGCCGCCGCGAGACCCTTTGCCGGGAACAAGCCACGCACTCCGCGCTCAGCAGAAGCACGGAGCGTAACCCGGGCAGGAGAGGAGGGGGGTGCTGCGCTGCAGCCCGCGCTCCGGTCTCATCTCTGGCCATCGCCAGCAGCGCTGCAAGAACTTGGCGCTTGCATGTCACCTCGCGTGCCATTCGTTTCATCGGCTGGGATGTTTCCCCTGCCTGGGGCTTTTCACCGGGTGCTCCAGGGTCAGCCGAAAGATCACTAGCTTTGCATTTATTCTTCCCCATCTGCACTTACATGGCAGCTTTGCAAGGAGAGCCGGAGATGGGAGCGTCACCCGTCCCAGCCCCAAAATAAAGCTGGGGGGAGGAGACATGAGATATTTATCCACTGGCAGGACACAGGACGTCCTCTGCCTGTGAGGAGCTTAATACTAGCATTTGGAAGGCTTTGAAGGTCATTAATGTAACAGTAGGAAATACTGGGAAATCCTCTCTTCTCATGTGTCAGCCTGTTCCCCAGCAGTTAATGCCAACAGCAGGCTGGGCTCTCTGCTCTTGGAGGGGAGCCACAACACCCACAACGTATTCCTCCAACTCTGAAGGGCACCCAGGGTCACAGCTGAGCAGATCTGGGAAAAGCGGATGCTCCTTAAATGCTCCCTCTCCCTCTTTCTTTTTTAGTTTCCCTGTTTTTTCTTCTTGGAAGAGGCAGGATAGGGAGCAGCTGCTCCTCTGGCAGCAGGATGAGAAGCATGGTCCTTTTAATGAATCCTACTGCACCCAGAATAATAGGCGTAGTTTGACTTCTGTGTGGGGAGGCAGCTCCAGTCAGGCCAACATGTGTGTGCGGGGGAAATTCCACACCTCCCCAAAGTTCCACCCTGCCTCCCTCTGCCCATGCCCAGAATAGAAGGGCAGAAGGGTAAGTTCCAGTCACTGAAATCTAATATGACAGGTATTGGGGCATAACAGTTTAAATCAGGTTGGACATATCTTATAATCAACCAGAAGGATTCCCCCCAAAACACTATAAACATTGGCCCTGATTTAAGAAGCTATAGTTTGGAGTTCATCTCCACTCTCTCAAATGTAGCTGCCACAGAGATGGAACAGAGCATAACCAAACCCACTACACAACAAGCGTCGCACTGGAATTGTAAAAATTCATAAAAGGGCAATACAAATTATTAGGGGTATGGAACGGCTGCCATATGAGGAGAGGTTAATAAGACTGGGACTTTTCAGCTTGAAAATTAATAGGCAGTAGGTTTAAAACAAACAAAAAGAAGTATTTTTTCCACACAATTCACAGTCAACCTGTGGAACTCCTTGCCAGAGCATGTTGTGAAGGCCAAGACTATAACAGGGTTCAAAAAAGAACTAGATACATTCATGGAGGATAGGTCCATCAGTGGCTATTGGCCAGAATGGGCAAGGATGGGTGTCCGTAGCCTCTGCTTGCCAGAAGCTGGGAATGGGCAACAGGGGATGGATCACTTGATGATGACCTGTTCTGTTCATTGCCTCTAGGGCACCTGGCATGGGCCACTGTCGGAAGACAGGATGCTGGGCTAGATGGACCTTTGGTCTGACCCAGTATGGCCGTTCTTATGTTCTTATGTACAGAGTATGAAGACTGCCTGACTCAAATGCACCTGCAGGGAGAAATTTAGGTTGGCAAAATGCACTTAGCGTGTAAGTGTTGTTTTTTTCACCCCTCTCTCATCTTACATTGTGGTTGGGGGCTCGGCAGGAAGTGTGTGGAGGTGGGTGTCTTCTTTATAGGTTTGCTTTTGCTAAACATGAACGAGGAAAAGGGAGTTCTTCCATTTTTCTACATATGGTCTGATCAAGTTTCACTCTGTAGGAGATTCTTCATTACCCACCTACAATCACACCACTGTTGAGAGAGAAGATACCCCTAACTCATGCAATTTTTCTCAGATCCTAGTTCTCCAATGATCTCTAGGCATGCTGCATTTCTACAGAATAATAATACATAGTAACCATTGTCCATGAACAACAACAATAATAATTTCTATCAAAGTAGCATACCGGAGTCCTCAATTAGGATCATACCCCTGTTGTGCTAGAAAGAGCTTGTAATCTAACCATGTATGGTGAGTCACATGATGCCCTGTGCTCAAGTAGTGAGGGATAAGAAGTCGTTGTGTTGTTCCCAGATAAGAGGTTTCTTCTCACCCATTCCCTCACCCCAAGGATGCCCTTCTCCAGTTTAATGACACTTGCAGACTGAACAAGGCTCAGTGGGAGGACAATTCCTAGCCAGTAAGACCTGGGGGCCCCGGGGCACAAGGTAAGACACAGTCCATCACACTGAGCATTAAACCACCAGCTCAGCTCCCTCAGTGCCCGCGGGCACACTGCAGACACAATAACTAAGGGCATCTCTACATCGGAAATTTCCTGGAATAGCTATTCCAGTTTAACTCTTCATGTGAACGCTCTTCTTCTGGAATAATTCAGGGTAACCTAACCCAGAAAAAAGACAGAATAAAAGCATTTACATGGAGAGTTAATCTGGAGTTAATCAACTCTACTTTAAATCAAGAATCATTTCCCCATGTAGATGAGCCCAAAATAAAGGACACGGGATAAGAAGCCAGACTGCCGTTCTCCTAGAGATATACAGGATTTGTCCCCAGTTCACCCGCCACAGTCGAAATTATGCCTAGTGGATGGATGCTGCTTTGTAGGGCTTTTTATAGACATTCAGAAGCTATTGAATAATGTTCCTGGCTGTCTTGTCTGACAGCCACGTGTTTGAAGAAGTGCAGCGGAATTAACATCTGTTCTCAGCAAGCCAGGTGCACGGCTGGAAAAAAACAAGTCCCGACAAAACACAGGCCACTTGGAATAGCCAAGCAGTATTTCACGTGCGATAGCTGCTCTAATAGCATCTGCCTTACAGAAGCCTGACAGTGAAAGAAAGGAAGCCTGACTGAGAACGTGTGATTAAAAAAGAAGCAGAGGATCAACAGTGCTGATTCAGTTAGCAGCCACTAATTGGCTGTGCACTTTCCTATTCCTTAGTATGGTCCCTCCATCAGGCACCTGACCTAGATACATCTTCCTGGGAGGAGGTTTCTTCTGAATGAAGCCCTCTTTCAACCCTAACCCTGGATTCGCCAACCTGGGAGAGTGAGGGTGCAGAAAGCAGAAACACACGTCTCGCTGGACTTTCCGGTATATGATCAGCAACAAAGACACATTAAATAGTAATCATGTGCGGTACTCCAACCACTGCCATTTTCAGGCTTAAAGCACTTTGTAGTTATTAACTAATTAAGCCTTTGAAGATCCTTCTGAGGTTGGTGTTCTTACCCCAGATCTACAGATGAGGAAACTGAAGTGCAGAGAGGCAAAGTGGCTTCCCTGAAGGAAATAGGTGGCAGAGCTGGGAACAGAACCTAACATGAAAATCCCTGGGCCAAATGGGCAAATGGAGACTGAATTCCCCTGCCCAGCTTTGAGGGTAGTGGTTCCTCTAGACTTTCAGTAGGTAAGATCCCTTCCTCCTTGCTCGGCCCATGATACGGACTCATCTTCTTGGGCCTACTGGGGACTTTTTCTTAAGCCCTCACTTGCGTTTAACCTCATGGGACATAGAGAATAAACACCTCCCTTACGCCAACTAGAACAGGTCTGCCACAACTGGAGGGTGATACCATTTTTGCTACACCTAGATTTCGTCTGCTTGTTCAGGTTTGCCAAGAAAGAGCCAGAGAATACACACACCTGAACACAAGCATGCCCCTCCTCACCTGCACACGCACACAGAGTAAATGAAGGACGCTGGGGCAGGTGTGGGTGTACCCCATAGGGGTGCTCTGCAACGGGCAAACCCTCCGCCCTTTCAGACCTCTGGTGGGGACTCACGCACTGACGGGATATAAATGTTGAATGCTACCAAAAGCAGCACCACGTACCGTGTCGGGGTTGCTATGGCAACCCACCCAGATACTGCAGCACAGGAAAAAAGATGGATGCTTCTGTGTCAGCATATTAAGGTCAGGAGATAAAAATAAATTCAGCTTAGCTGCCCCCCAGCAAACTCCCTTCTTCATAATGCCCCTTGGGCCAGGATATGAAAGGAGCAGTGCAAAGCCTGCATGGCTTGCTACTGTGTAATGTCTGTCCAAGCAATGCTCCCTCACCCTCACAACAATCACATTAATTTGCTTAGACTGAACTGTTATCCTCATTCGGCTGACAAACATCAGAAGGCTCCTTCCCTGAACAGCTACTCCTGGCTGCCAGGAGACAACACAGACCCAAACCCGTCACCAACTGCTCACAGTCAATCATTCCAACATCAAGGCCACTGGAACAGCGCAATGGTCAAATAGCAAGAGGCGATGGCAGTGCTATCTCCTGACGTGTAATTAATGCTGGGGAGAATGAACTGGAAGGAAGAGGATCAGATCCCCCAGGTACACATATACACCATTGCTCTTAGAGAGGAGTCTATAATTGGGCTGGAAGCAGGAAGGCTCTATAGAAATGGAATAGGGCCGGTGAGCGTTATTTTCAAAAGCTAAAGGATTTAATAGGGAATGGCATCCTTTCTAGGGTCTTTTAAAAAGCACAGTATAGGATTCTATAGCAGGGATTTAATTCTCCAGTAGTTTCTGTCAGACGATTTGAAGTTTAAATTAAATCTATAGGTTTTTTTCATTCACAAGGTTTTAGATGCCTTCTCCACACCCAGCCAAAGCTATATCCTCACCACACACCCTCCTACATACAGGGCTCCAGCTGTATTCTTCAGGCATGTACATATTACTAAGCCTACATCTCCATCACTAATAAGTGCCACTGCACAGTGCTATTCCTTCATTCTCCATGCACACACAGCTATAGCGCCGTCTCTATCAAATCCATGTACCCCACCCTGTACTGGCTTTCTCTGTGCTCTCCATATAGGTACATATACCCTGGTTTGTCTCTCCCGCACATTTGCTCATCTCTGCACGGGGTGTATCTGCGTATTCTGTACATCTATCCACCCAGGGCTCTCTCTCCATCACATACAGCTACAAACTATACAGGGCTTCACCAGCATTCTCCACACGCATTTATATACGCTGGACTCTATCTCCATACTCAACACGAAGCTAACTGCATTTTCCAGACATAAACACACCCAGAACTACCCTCCATCACACACAGATTCTGCATCTCTCTGTTCTCGATACACTCCCTGAGCAGCACCCTGATTGTAGATTATGCTGCCTTACTTTGCAGACCAGCCAGCTCTACAGGGGCATCCAACTAGTGTCATCCCTTTAAAGCCAGCTGGTCCTTTTTAAAATGCAGAATACCTGCTTTCTGGATCCCTTAGGACGCATAAGGAAAAGCGCCTGTGCCATCCTTGCCTGCCAGAGGAAACACAGCCCCAGGGCTGCATCCATTCACAGCTGGCACTGTTTTGCTTTCAGGACTGAATCCACTTAGGGCTGGATATTGTACAATCCTCCCCTATGTGAGCAACAGGAAACTTTTCTGGCAAACAACAGTCCATCCGTTCTGTGTGTCTTTAACAATGTTCATAATGGCACGCCCCTTGTGATACAGGGATCCCCAAACTTAGAAAAGAATCGCACACAGCTAAGGATGATCGTGGTTCAGCTTTTCAAATCAGTCTGGTGGATTTAGACACATTAAAATGGGAAATGAATTTATATCCCTAAGGACTGCTTTGAAAATCTTCACCCAGTCGTCTGGAACAGAAGCTTTCTCAATGGCATTCAGGAAATCATCTCATCCCAGCACCTCTGATAGCATCCAGTGGCTTTCACCTGAATTGCCGCTTTACACTTTTACCCAGGCCAGCGTCTTTTACCATCTGTGGCACCTCGCTTGCAAGTGCATTATGTTTCATGTTGCTCCATGTAGGAAGGTGCCACCCTGAAAAATAGCAAGACCTGGTATTGCCCTAGAAAGGTTGTAGGCATCATTCTCCAGGACACAAAAGCTGCCAAGAGGAAAGGTGCACTCATGCATGTCAGTGAGACCTCAGAGGCCCTAAATACAATCGGCAGTCTAATAAGCTGGTGCCTTCCATAGGGACATGCAAAGGGCAGGTCAGTTATGATCATGTAAGGTTAACATCTTTCAGGCCTCTCATCCCTTCATTTACCCTTTGATAGTGGGTGACAAGCTATTAGCATGTCCGAGCTCTATGCACATTCATTCATACTTGCTCATTTGATTTTTGTGCTGTTACTATTGGAGAAAAACACCAATGAATCAACAGCTTCAAAAATTATTTTCGCAGCACAGGGTCTGTATTTCCATACAAAAAAGCTTGGCCAGCAATAGTTGAATATTCCTTACCTTGCACTGGATGGGGCGTATGGGATGTTGCATACTTTCTTTAGTTGTGTACAATGACAGAATTTTCTTGCAGATCCCAAAGAATTGATGCATACCTCACGAAACTCATTCACAAGAGTCTGAAAGTGTCACTGGTCAATCACATATAGGATTGGTTCATCCTGAGTAAGTCTGGTTGCAATTCTATCTACTGTCTCACGGGCCACTCCCTGGAAGGAGGAATTTATCTTCCATCTGAAAGGATAAATATATAGAACATCAGGCAGGATGCAAGAGCTTGTTTGGAGCAAGCAAATGTTTCCTTCTGCAAACTAGGAAAACCTCTGGGACAAATTCACAGGTCATAAATAAGGTGGTGTAAATTACACATCATTCATGAGTTTAAGGGAGTCTAAATTGTGTAGTTTACAGAACAAAAGGCATGGAATAGAAAGAGGCACAGGAGAGATAAGTTAAACTACCGCCTCCCTACACTTTACCCTGCATGTTCTTGTGGCCCACTGACATGTAATTATGCCATCTTAGACCCCTTTATGTTCTCTTTTGCTCACTTAGGGCTTGATCTTGCTCTCACTGTAGCTGACAGGAGCTTTGCAGGAACACAGGATGGGATTTAAAAAAAAAGCGAGTTATATGTGCCAAACACTCACTGATTTTCGATGGGAGCTGGATACCTAACTCTCTTAGGCTCCTGTAATGGAGCTGCATTGGACAGGAAAGGGTTAACCCTACATTGTGGGCTGAGGAAGCCACGCCCCCTCAACTCTCCTGGGCATGCACCAGTATAAAAGGGAGCAGCTCAGCTCAGTTAGAACTGATTGCTGGAGAGAAAGGATGCATACTGCTGCTGCTAGTTCCAGGTAAGGATAAGCCAAAGTTCTGGCAGAGGTCAGGGTACCCATGGAGGCCTTGCAGAGTTTGGAGTTGCTGGGTACAGTGCAGACTGGGGAACCTGGAGGCAGCAGAGATGCCCAGACTGTGGCAATGGGAACAATGGTAGGAAGCAGCCCAGAGGAATTAGATCATGAATTGGAATTTTGAGCCAGTGTGCTTTGGCTGCCCCCTTGATGATTCAGTGGCACGTGGAAAGGGAGGGCCTGGGCTGCTGCCACCACTGCCTGTTTTGTGTGTGTGGTGGCCCCCTTCCCTGACTGAGGCCACTTGGCCCCTAGGCCCTATAACCCTGCTGATGGGGCAGATCTGTTGACTGACCCCTAGGTCCTACTGTCTTGCTAATAGGGGTAAGTATATTGACTTTCTCTAGAGACATAAACATAGGCTACTTATGCCCTGTTCCTACACCCTAAGGGGGATGGGGTCCACCAACCTTGTCACAGCTTCTCTGAAAATACCAGATAGAGCAGTGGCTCTTAAACTTTTGTACTGGTGACCCCTTTTACACTGCAAGACTTTGAGTGTGACCTCTTATAAATTTATAAACCCTGGTTAATATATTTAACACAATTATAAATGCTGGAGGCAAAATGGGATTTGGGGTAGAGGCTGACTGACTCCCTGGGGGTCCTGACCCCCTGAGAGAGCCTTTTACTCTTTGTCTACTTAATGACTTGTAACTTCCTCTTCCATATGCACTGTCTCTGAATGGAGTCCCCTTGCTGACCCCAGACCCACCAATCAATACTAGTTTAAAAAATCCCTCCAGTCTCAGCAGGACTGCTGGGGATTCGGCAAGTGGCACTCTTCCCTGTCTGTCAAAGCTGAATACTGATGCAATAGTCTAGGATGGCATTTGCATACATAATAGGCTGCTGGAGGTGCAGTCTTTTGCATGAGGTAAATTCAGGGTCCTCCTAACCACCTTCTCTCCATTAGAGATCCCATGGCTAGAGAAACGGTCTCTGTTTCCTTGTATTCCCCGTGTCTGTCTCCTCCTGTTGTCTCTTCTCTGATACTTAGAGCATACAATTTTGGGGACAGGGAATCTTTATTTATTTTTCTGTTCAGTGCCTAGCACAGTAAGGTCCTGGGCTCAAGACTGCAGCATTTAGGAGCTGCAAATTCAAATTATAAATAAAACAATGAAAAAAAACTAGACTGGAACTTAGGAGACCTGGGTTCAATTCCCAGTTCTGCCACTAGTTTGCAGGATGACCTTAGACAAGTCAGTTCCTTGCCCTGTCAGTCTTCCATCTGTAATATACACTAAATGATAGAGAGCTCCTTTGTAAAGCTCTTTGAGATCTATGGATGATAGAATCTAAGTATTCTTATTACTATATTCCAGGTTGATTCATTTCACTCTACCTAATTAAATTCTCCCAGCAGGTGGAAATGGATACAGTATTCCCCACATACTAGTGAACCATCGTGTAGCATTCTTTAGCATTTTAAGCAGCTGCCAGAATCCATCCCCTGATATGACTATCACTGTGGTATTGAAGGGGTGATAGGTAATCCCTATCTGTCTAGTTTAGTACAGTGCTTTGGGGTGAAAGATGCTTTATAAATTTAAGATCTTGATGATATTACTTGAGCTAGCCTCATTGCAACTTCACTTAAAAGAAAACACAAACAAATGTATCATAAAAGCAAAACACAACCCAAAAACCACCAAACGTTGCACTGACATTCACCACAAATGCTGATGCAATGACTGACTCTTTGGCTTATGCCAGATGAGGGAGGGACAGGATCAGAGCTTTATGTAAGTCTGTTTTCCCCAGTTAGTCTTTTTGGTGTCTGTGCAGTAATGCTATCCCAAATACCCTGCACCCTTTATTGCCTTCACCAACCTCATCCCTCTAGATCTGAGGGTATGTCTACACTGCAATTAATCATGCCATGACTGGCTTGTGAGAGGTGAATTGGGCGCTCAGAGCTTGGGGTTTAATTGCAGTGTAGATTTTCATGCTTCAGGATGAAGCTTAAGCTCTGGGATCCCATGATGGGAGAGGGTCCCAGAGCTCAGGTGAACCTGAGTCAGCTGATACAGGCCAGCAGTCGGTGTTTAACTGCACTGAGACTTGCCCTTCATGTCACAAACTCCCTAAACGAGCCATCCTCCGCTCGCTAGATAGAGCAGTGGCTCTTAAACTTTTGTACTGGTGACCCCTTTTACACTAAAAGAAAAGGAGGACTTGTGGCACCTTAGAGACTAACCAATTTATTTGAGCATGAGCTTTCGTGAGCTACAGCTCAGAAGTGAGCTACAGCTCACGAAAGCACATGCTCAAATAAATTGGTTAGTCTCTAAGGTGCCACAAGTACTCCTTTTCTTTTTGCAAATACAGACTAACACGGCTGTTACTCTGAACCCTTTTACACTGCAAGACTTTGAGTGTGACCCCTTATAAATTTATAAACCCTGGTTAATATATTTAACACAATTATAGAAATAGAAAGTCTAGAAATAAAAGGTGAGTGGCAGATGGCTCATTCAGAGAATTTGCAAAGTGAGAAGGGAAAGGAGTCGGAGAAGACAAGACAGTAGGGAGGAGTGACATTGGCCTGGAGAAAAGCAGGGAAAGAAGATTACAAGTAACAAGTGAGGAGGAGAAGGGGAAGAGTGGGAGGTGGGAAGAGACAGAGCAGGATAAGCACCAGAGATCATGGTTTTCACTTTTGGGGGGAGCCACTGCTGGAGGTGCTCATTGGGAGCTGGACCCAAGCCCAGAGGAGAATCCCAAACCAGTGTAATCCTCCTCCCCCTCCACCTCAAAGGAGTCCTTCAGAACTGAATGAAGCCTGGCATATCTCCACTGGGGAGCAGCAGAGAACAGTGCAAAAGCTTTAGCATAACTACAGACCAGGGTGTGTACTGGGATTGCTTTCAATCCAAGTATACACAGAGCAGCAGGGATACAGGTTGGTGTTAGAGGGGGACCTGTCTCTGGTCTCAAGGATGCTTGAGAATCTAGCAGTTCCAATAAGTCTTCAGAAAGGGTTAAACTGCTGAAGTGTGTATACCCTGGTAGTATAACTGGTCAGAAAACTACAATTTTTCCTGGGGAATTTTTTCCCTTCAACTTCAAATCTTTCTATTTAATGCTCCCAAAATTGTAGATTTTAATTCCTCCCATTTTCTTCCCCCTCCACTGGATAAAGAAGGAATAAGGTAAATGGTGGTGGGAGGAATCAACCATTTTTTTCACTCCTCACCTTGCTTAATGAAAACTAAATGTCCCCCTGCCTTCCAGCTTATGTCATTGCAAAGTGGTGAAAATTGGAAGGAAATAAAAAATTTCAATATTGACTTTTTTGCAAAATTTTTCCTAATGTTTTCCTTTTCGTTAAGTGTGCATTGCAATGGGTTTTTTGAGCAGGCCTACCCATTATTAAATGGGAGGGGGGGCATCTCGTGAATCTAGCAGCATGGCAAGGGAGTAGGTGGGAGGAAGTGGCACTCTGGAATTCTAGGCTAGAGGAAGGACAGTCCAGTCATTAGGGCGTTACCTATGACTTGGGAAACCTGTGTTCAAGTCTCTGTTCTCACAGATGGCCATCAGGCAAGTCACTGAGTGTATGTCTACACCACAAGTAAGCTTGGGGTTCAAAGCTAATGGGAGTTTTGAGTATGGACTGGTTTGCAGCACTGGGCATCAGTCAGTGCCCAACACCAAAAGGTGCTGCATGCCCTCAACTCCCATTGACTTCACTGGGAGTGCAAGGTGCACAGCCCTTTCAGGATAAGAGCCCCTAGTCAGCAGGGGTAAGAGGAAAAATATTAATAAACAGGGAGTAAGAACAGAGGGATGCAGAAGGGTCAGGTGGTGCTAGACTTGTCTGGAAGGGAATGCTTGAGAAATTAACGCTGGTCTACTTTTGCATGGTATTATGTAATAAGCCTTGGAGGACAAGAGGGGTGTTAAAATACCTATGTCCCCTCTTAACAAGGTAACTATGCCCTTGGCACCAGGCAGGACTCTTCCTTCACCACTTGGAAAGGAAGTGTTTGGCCACATAAAAGCACATTATAATCACCATCCGCATACTGATCTCTGGCCTGGTTCTTCCTTATGAGAGACTGTTTGGTTCATATGGATTATGTAAGAGTGTGGTTATGACATCGGGAACCACCATAGCATCCTGGGTCCTGGATCCATGGAGCTGGTCTCCCCATGCCGAGAATTTCCACTCTTGGACAGCCGAGGAAGAAACCCAGGCATGCAAACCCCAGCCATGCACCCTGCTTCTCTCTAATTGGGGCTCTTTTATTTGCACTGCACCATTTCTTGTGAGCACTCCCTGTCCTCTTTTAAAACTTTATTTACACAGCATGGCACAGTTTAAAACCTTCCTGGTTTTGGCCCATAGCTGACACTGGCCTCTGCCCACTCCTCCCCACTCCTGTCCCTTCTATCTGCACTCCTCCTTCCCCTCCCCAGAGCCTTCCTCTTTGAATCCCCCACCTCATCTTCCCTTTCCATCACTGTCACTCCCCACTCATTGTATTACTCCACCCAACACCTGCCCCTTCTGCCCCCTCACTGTAACTAGCCTGCACAGAGAGCCATTGCACCTTTACTGCTTTTAAACATTATTCATCTTGCCCTTTCAATTGCCCCTTTTCTTACTGTGCCCCATTGCTGCCTCTGACAGGCACTTGGATGTTTGTCTCCAGCATAGTATATGCACAAAGCATGTTACACTGTGAGCAGAGGATGTTACATAAATAGATTCCTTGCATACAGTCACAAAAGACAGTGAGTCATTACTTTAAAAGAAGTAGCACTATATAAAACATTGGCTATAATTAAGCAACATGAGGCTTGCCAAAGAGTGGTTGATTAATGGCTAATATCAACTGCAGGGCTCTGTACCTGCTTGAAGTCATTCAGTTAAAACAAATTTAAAAGGTCTATGGGGCTGGACAAGGTAGGAAGCAGGGGAAACAGTCTCATGGCAGGTTAGTGGAACATCAGCCAAAAGAAAACAGGAGGGAGTATGAGGTGGCTCAGGGAACTGGTAATAGGTTGTAGTCACCTGTGTGAAGGTGAACAGTATCTAGGTCACCAGTTTGGGGCAGGGATTAACTAAATTATTACCATCTGGGGGCCTGTGTGAAGGAAACTGGAGGGGAGCTGGGTATCTCACATCAGTATCACATACTGATCATCAACTTTATCACTAATAGACTTTTTTGGCAGTGTCAGCAGAGATGCTATGGACTGAGTAGGGATGCAAAGGGGATCTCTGCCCCCCTCAGTCCCAGAAGTAGACCCTCCAAGATGAAGGTTAAGGTACACTGGTGGGACAATTAAGGGAAATCTTTCCCCTGCTAAACACATGTTGTGCAGAAACAGAACTTCAAGCCTATATTTCCAGCAGATCATTCTCACTGGTGGTTCTTATTTAGGGTGTGTATGTTGCAATCAGTGTGATTTGCAGCTCATGTAGACATACCTGTGCCAACTGTAATCTAGGCAGCTTGCTAAAAATAGCATTGAAGATGCATTGTCTTGTACTTCAGTGCAGACTAGCAAAGTGAATATGTACCTGGGGGACCAGGTGGGCTCATACAGGCCACACAGAGGCCCACACTGCTGCATCGTCACTGATATTTTTAGCAGTCTAGTGAAATTAAAGCTAATGAGGGTATGCCTACCAAAGCTCCCATCACACCCCCAACTGCAGTGTAGACATAGCCTTAGAGTGAGTATATTCAGTCTCAATCAGATTTGGGGGGAAGTGGCAGAAGTTTGATCTGCAGGCAGTTTCATTACATTTGTTTGTAATTTGTGGGCTGAATTTGGTGGTTCTTTTGTTTTTGTATAAAAACAACTATTTAGACTGATTACTTAAGGGCCCTGACTATCTTATTATTCTGTGTACAGCACCTAGCACAATGGGGTCCTGGTCCATAAGAGCTCTTAGATGCTATGGTAATACAAGTAGTAAATGTACTGAATTTTGGGAATTGAGTTGTACTATTATTATATCCTGGTAAAGCAATACCATTCTATTAGACATGCTGCATGTGTATTTGCTACAGACCTATATCTCTCTGTACAAATATGTACACAGTTAAATACCCACATGATCATGAATACCTAGTAAAAATGAGGTGAGAGGTCAAATCTGTGACCTTATTAAACCTGAAGAGAAAATTACCATTCCAGTGGCACAAGGTGTGACTGTCAACTCCCACCAGTTTAAAGGAGTTAATATCCAATCATTCATGCAGTCAGAATGCTCAGATTATATGCATGCACTTGCTACTTCCTCATAGCAAGAGGAAAATAAGCAATCATTGACTAAAATTACTTTTGACAGTATTTAAAGAACAAGCATGATGAAGACTTGAAAACATAAGAGACCTGAAGCACAGCTGCCAAATTACTCCTGCTAGTACCAAGAATGAGGCTGGGGAAGGGAGCACTTAAGTAGAGCTAGTTGGATTTTTTCCAGTTTAATTTCCCTGTGGAAAATTTCAATGAAAACACATTTTCCATTTCAATGTATTCTTAAAAAAATAAAATAAAAATCCCACACTAAATCAAAGTGAATTTTTTTACAAGACACATTTTTCTGCAGAAACTTTTGTTTAGTCAATCCTATTTTTCCATCAAACAGTTGTGACAGAAATTTTCAACCAGCCCTATTCCATGTGCTCCATCTGAAAATCAGGGTTATACCCATGTCTCCTTGTACATGACTATTCTCAGTCCACACCCTGTCCCTTTCACACCAGGCTGTTAAGAGCAAGGGGAGGGGTGTTCTGTGGGAATTTTGATGGCCCGGTATTCAGGACAACACCCACGGCTCTTACCATACTCTTACCACCTCCTACATCTGTTCTGATATACACCCCAAAAGGATTTACAGCACTAAGATATAATCAGGTTTCCTGGGTGTATTTTAAGAGCAGTGTGTTCTATTAATAGCCTTCTCCCTGCATGCCATAGACAGCAATCGCCCTGCTCCAGTCTGAGAATGGGGACTGATGCATAAGAATGGCCATACTGGGTCAGACCAAAGGTCCATCCAGCCCAGTATCCTGTCGGCTAACAGTGACCAATGCCAGGTGCCCCAGAGGGAGTGAACCTAACAGGTAAAAATCTAGTGATCTGTCTCCTGCCATCCATCTCCACCCTCTGCCAAACAGAGGCTAGGTACACCATTCCTTACCCATCCTGGCTAATAGCCATTAATGGACTTAACCTCCATGAATTTATCCTGTTCTTTTAAACCCCATTATACTGATACCAAAAGAGAAGCATCTTTCACAGAACTGAACATCTCTCTTACATAAGTAAGGTGGAATTCACAAACTCCTAACAGCATGTTTTGAGGCAAAAATCAGTGGGATTTCACACATCCCCAGTAAAAATGTGAAATTCAATTCAACTTACTTGGAGATTCACCATTTCTGGCAATAAAAACAGCTTTCCCTGTCCCTTCAAAATGAGACCCTTCTGGCAGCAGAAACAGGCTTGCATTTTTACCTGTGGAATCAGTTCATTAGTTTTACTTGCATTAGGAATTTTATTTTCTTACAAATTCCTAATAAAATAGCACACATTATTAAAGATCCAAACCACAACAGCATGCAACAGGAGTACTGTGGTTTTGGACCATTACTGTAGTTTAATGTGCTTTGAATATATAGACACTATAAAGTAGTATTGATAAACTGTCACCTTATTTATAAAGTCAGTAATTTGCATCTGAGGAACTCGGTGCCTTGCAACCATTTAGGGTCACATTTTTGCACTCGTATGTCCATGCAACTCCCCATAGCTTCAATGGGAAATGAATACACTTATCTGAGGGTAGAATTTGGCCTTAATTATGCCTTGTAACACCTTCTCCCCCACCTCCAACAGGATTTTATAGAGGGAAAACTGAAGTATGGAGAAACAGCAATTTGCACAGAGTAACTGTGGCTAAAATGGGAGCTCCACCTCACAAACCTGTTTCCTGTTCTGTTTGGTTATGCCACCTCCACCTTGCCAATGAACCCCATGAAGTCACTGTCTAATGACAGCATGCTGGTTTCTTTAGCAATGTCATTCACTGTCATCCTCCTTCCACACAACCTATCTCAGAGCAAAACCTTCTAATCTCATTCAACTGAAAAGCTTATTGGTCCCTTTTTCTCCATCATACCAAGCTTTTGGAACATTTGTGAATTCCTTTCATATGGCTTAATAGCCATAGTTGTGATAATTGGGCCTCACAAATTTACCCTAATTGTGAGCTTAGCTGTAAAAAGCGAGTAAGTTCCTAGGATGTCACAATAACCTACAACAAATGTTGATGGGAAAAGGTATGAAAAGGGAGACAGACTGAATTAGTCCAGACAGAAAGGCCTCTTGATATAACTTAAGGCCTACATTAAGGTCATGCTTGGTAAGGAAAAGTGGAACCAGAAATCAGTGAACCCAACTGGTGTCAAACTAGGCCTAATTGGTAGACAAAACCAGAGGATGATCTGTTTCACCCATCACCCTCTTTTTAGGGTCCTTGAAGAAAGTTTAGGGAAGAAAAATGGGCTACTGGAGCAAGCTTCACCATCATGGCTGTCACCCCCACCATCTCCTGGGACCCCAAGCCTGTGTCATGCTCATCCTGATCGGACTGGAGAGTGACCCAGATGACATTGCTGCCTCTACTGACTTCAGCTGAATCCCAACCACAACCCATGATGAAACAGGACTGGACTTCAATAGCAGCAGCTCCAGGTCATCTCAGCAACTTTTCCCCAGGAGGACAGTTTTTACCATCTTAGATATCATCTACCAGACTGTAAAACAAGGCTTTTTCCTTCTAAAATCTCTCTCCAGCTAAAGGGAACAAGGGATGTTTAAAATGCAAGCTTTATTTAATACTTGACATTTCAAATGTTTTAACTGTTTCCCTTTTCTTTATCTTTATTAAAAAGTTAAAGATTTTTTTATGGTGTTTGCTGTGGTACTAAGCAGGCTGATGTCTCTGTATACAAAACCCCAGACCTCCTTTAACACTGTTTAATGTTGGACAGTGACTGGATTGTGCCATCATCTTTTAGCCCATATATTTCATCTAAACTAATACAACAGATGTCCAGGTTTAGGTTAGGGATCCAGCTGATTGTTTCAGGTGACAATGAGTGGATGGCAGATATATGCTGGTGTGATATTTTAGGACACTGGCTGAAAATCTGACCAACTCAGGTAAAGAGCATCTCACTTCTGCACACAAGCAAGAAGCACTTCAGTGCATTAAAATACCATGTGCCTTTGTCTTAGTCTATGATAATAGCAGCATCCTCTTAAGCTAAATAAATTCCTAAACAATTGCAGGGTGCATACATGACAGCAACAGTGTGAATTCTGCTTGCCTTCCAATTATACTAAAGAGGAGAAGGAAACAAAATACATATCTTCATCTGCATCTATCCTGTCTTACAACACTCCTTGACAGCGGTCCACCCCTGGCTCGCAATGTTGGTGCACTCATTCACCTAGAGTAAGCCTCCTGGTCAAAGTTTGGTAAGTAGAACTGGTGACCTCACAACTTTAGTTTACCCATTTCAGATCTTTCTTTCCTACTATAACCTTTATAGGTATTTATTTTAAAATTGTTTATTTGATGCCCTTTTAGTGACCTATATTACATAGTTTTTCTGTAGCTCTTTCCTGCTTTGTTCTTTGTATTGCAGTAGCACTTAAGAGCCCCAGTCACAGACCAGGATCCCATCATGCTAGGCCCTGTACAAACAGAACAAAAAGAGGGACCCTTCCCAAAAAGCTTGCAACTCATAATATAAGGCAAGAGTGAATCAAATGTCAAGGTTCTAGCTGAAAAGGACCCTTGAGTGGTTGAAGTCCACTAACAGTTGGATGTCATTTTAGTGGCCTATTGTGAAAGTCCAATGGCATTTACCCTCTATTCAGCAGCACATGAAGGATGTTTACAAGGACCATATTTAAAAAATCTAGCTTTATAGGAATGTAAATTCATGTGGTCGATCACCATTTTAAATAACATCTGGACTAGAGTAGTTATCCTTAATGATCCTTCAGGTTTTTTTCAAATTGCAGTGACAACTCCAACCTGTTGAAAGACTTTAATTTCCCCCACCCCATTTTTGGAGCCTTTATCGAACTGATCAAAACATCCAAACTAAATATCCATCCTGCCCCATTTCTTGATAGTGTACTGCTCCTGAATTCAATGCTCTAACCACCCAATTCTGCCCTCAAGTACCAATGTTAGCTACATACATGCACATCAGTACACACCCCAACCTGCCATCAGCATTCCAAGGGCAGAAACAGGCTCTTAAGGAAGGTCTAATATAGACAAACACTTCCATCTGCACATGGATTTTTGCATGTGTGGTTCTAGTTTCAGGGCCGAATGAATGGTTTTGGAGATTGGAGTCTGCTGATTACATCCACCTAATGGGTGTAACATGGGCAGCTGCAGAGCAAGTTTACTCTCGTTACACTGCCCATGCACCTCAAAGCCTGCTCGGGAGCTAAGTTCAGTCTCTAGTCTTGGTGTTGACATTGTCAATAAAGGATTCACTCAGCGCAAATGGTAGAAATGTCTTCTAATGGCATGGATAGTTTGCCACTTTACGAAATGTACAAAGACCCACCATCTCCTCTCACATAGCCCACCAAACAGCCATCAGATAGGAACAGACAGGTCTATAATTTGTTAAATAGAGTAGGTGGAAAAGTTATGTTGAAAAAATGTTTCAATTTTTTCACTGCTTTTTCATTTTTTTTAAAATAATTCTTTTGGAACAAAAAAGGTTAAAGAACAGCCTAAATTTCAAATATATTGACCAGCTCTACCCCATACCAAGACTCTAAGCTATCCCTTTGCAGCCATGAGAATGTTTCCTCTTAAATGAGAATGGAACACTCTCCTTCCTTTCATCCTCACTTTTTGAAAATTTGTCATCTATGTGTATGCAAAGCATCTTTCACATGTATCTCTGTTCTGCACCAAAGCTGGAAGTAGAGGGCAAAATTCCAATGTATCAATAAAGCAGGTACTGGGAAAAGACATAATTGCTGCATAGTGAAAGATGGATAGATGCATTAAATAGCAGATCCTGATACTCACTTCAATAACAGAAAAGAGATATTGGGAGCAGAGCTGTTTTTCCTGCCATATCCTGCTGTAATGAGGTCAACCCATCTTGGTTTCGACTGGGATTTATTATTGCAACAAGTGCAAAGCTTCCCAGCCCAAGCCTGGAGCAGTCTAGTTTGGTACTCACGTGCAACATGACCTCTTTTCTTTTTGGTGAAGCTGGGAAAGGGGAGGAAATAGCAATCAATCACACAAGCCATACTCCAGCTTCTAGCTGATAGTTGAGCTGTTTATCACACCCCTTTCATGGCAAGGGCTGCAAATGTAGTTAGCAAAGACAAACCAGCAAACAGGACTGAAGTGGGGCTCCCTACCATGTTAGACGTAGAGAAACCTGGAGGAAAAAAATCACTGAGTTTAGACTTAAACTAAATGTACTTTGGTTCAACACAAATATTTAACCCTTAATTTCCCTGAAGAAGTGAAGGTCAATAAACTAATCATGCTTCTTTCCCCTCAATGGCAGTCATTGCTACTTATCTTTCTCTTCAGAGGATGTGCACAGGGAGCAAATGTCTGGGAAGTGGGCACAGTTTCCTGCAGTAGGTGAAGTGAATCTCATATCCAAGAATCAGGGAGGGTTTCAGGGACTGGGGAGACAATGGGGTTTGGGATTTGCTCGAAGCAAGGGTCTTGGCCAGCCTTGCCTAACAGGAAACCACCTGGGAAATACTCCCCAAACCCAATCTAGATTAAACCTAGCTCAGGTATGTCTACATGAGCTGCAATCTCACTCCACAATTGTAGTACTGGCATACCCTCTGACTCTACCCAGTAATCTAAAGACTAATCCAGGACACTCAGACTGACAGCCAGTCAATAACACAGCACTGAACAATGACAAGACATTGACCACAATAGTACCTCCAAAGTGATGGGGTTGGAATCTTATTTAGCAGTGCTGAAACCTTCATATGGGACCCTCAGGAAAGGAACTGAGCCATTTATTCCTTTGAGATAAACACAGATTTGTGGAGGCTGGGTGTGCTATTTACAAACTCATGTATGGGAACAGAAAGTAGGTCAGCAACCAACATATCTGAAAGATGAAGAAACCTGCATTTCGGTTCCCCCATTTTAGGCAGGGTCTTAATCACAGCGACAAGGCAAAGGGTTCTCCAGCTACATCAGAAAATTCTCTCAGTTAGTGCTACCAGGCATAGCAAAGGCTTTGTTACATCATCAGATTCATCATGGACAAAGGAGCTTTCAACTATTTCCCAAGTGACCTATATAACGAACCAGGGCCAGCTCTAGGTTTTTTGCCTCCCCAAGCTCCGAGAGCGCAACTGCCCAAGCAAAAAAGAAAGGGTGGCCGGAGTGCCGCCCCAAACACGTGCTTGCTTTGCTGGTGCCTAGAGCCGGTCCTGTAACAAACCCAAACAAATTAAGGGCTGAATAATAGCCTCACTGAAGGCAGAAAGTGTCATGGCTCAAGAAAGGATTTCAGTCCCCTTCATGATTCTGGAATCTAAACCAGATCAGGTTTAGACAAGGACAGAGACCAAGCTGTATCTCTGAGACACGCACTTTCGAGATTGGATTGGGATGCAAATTATTTGTTGTAATTTTTAATGAGTTAATTCTCCTGCCCCCAATAAAAAAAATAAAAAAATCATTCTGATTTTATCAGCATCTACACTTCGTCTCACACCACACCTTTCCAGGTTCTGTTGAGCTGGGCTGTCCCCATCCAACCTGCCTAGGAAAGAGAAGGACAGGGCTACAGAGAACAGAGAGACAGGTTTGCTCAAAACAGCTCTCCTAGAAAGTGATCCAGCAGAGAGAAAGAGAGAGAGCGCACCAGCATGTGTATTTAGGGCCAGTAAGTGGCTCATTTCCAGTCAAGTAACACCCTGCATGCTCACCAAAATCAAAGCAGTTAATCATGCACAGTGATTTGACATTCATAAGGGAAAGTTTGCCTTCCCTTTGTAATACAAACAAATATTAAAGGCCTGATTCTTTACAGGCAGAAGCACAGAGCAGGCTGCAAAAATGAGCATGTCTGTACAACAGTTTCCACTCCATTTACCATGGCTGTGCATACGGAGTACTTGCACCCCCTAACCCCAGCAGGAATGGTTACTTTGTGCAGCCGTAGTAACTGTATGCAGAAGTTAGACATGCAATTGCACTTGCATTTTTGCATGTGGCCTGCACTGCTGGTGTTCTGAAAATTGAGCCTTAAGAAAAGTGATGGGGGAAATCTCAAAAAGGTTCAGCGTTTAGACTCAGATCATAAGTTACTATTGCTATGCCTTTACATTGTATATTATGTGTATTGGGCCCTTTACAAAGCCGAGCCACCTCTACCCCCAGCACCATCTAATCTAGTTTAGACAAGATAAAATAAGACAAGACAAAAACACAGGAAATGATTCAAGTCAGGGAAGGTGAAGAATGGTGAGGAGACCAACATAGGAGTGGTTCATGGCATGGAAGGACTGGGCTTTAAGGATGCATATGAAGGAGAAAAGAGAGAATGCTCTGCAGACAAGAACTGAGGACAATTCAGACACATTTAAGGGCTCCAGCTGCAGGAGTAGAAGCAGGTTATGAATACCCCATAGATCAGGAATGCTAAGACCTGGGGTTTTCATTCAGCTCATTATAGAGATAAGGGCCATTTGTAAAATTTCAGAACTGGGCTTACATATTTGAATCTCTTTTTGCCTTCTGTCCCAAATGACTGGAAGCCAAGAGCGCTCAGCTACTGACAGCAGGTGCTCAGCTCCCTACAGGACTGGACCCTTTCTCGGCTCTAGCTCATTTCTATATGGAATGTGAGTGCATGAAA